TTATCTGTAGTCAATAAATTACATTCTAAAAACTGTGATTATGAAATTCCATATTTGCTGTGTAAATTAAAATTAGGACTAAAAAGTGCTCAACCCGATCCACCCAAATGGTGTCCTTTATTATTTTTGGCAACCCTAGCTCTAACCCACGACCTTCAGGTTTGAAGGTCAATGCTCTACCAACTTTTGAATCTGTTTCAGATTAAAATGTTTTTTCTATCTTTTATATAACTCACTTTAAAAATAATGCTGAAACTGTTTTTTATAACTTGAGAGATAAATGGTTAGTTGAGAAAACAGTTACAGTTGTTGAACCTACAGATAGATACTTTATTGATCCCCGTTGGAGAAACTCAGTGTCCAGTAGCAGCAAAAATGAAAATAAATGTGTCCCATGTTTATCACCACTTCCTCTCACCTTCTGGTAAATGTCTTTTCTCAGATTTCTCAGAACGCAAAATAAGCAGCAGGAAACTATAATTAGAGGTAGTATTTGCATAGTGAATAAAAAATGGTGCAATGAAACGCATATGTTTACTGCTGTGAGGAAGCGAAACTCTCACTTCTCACTTTCCCTCAACTGCAGCTGTTTTATATTTATATCTGGAGCCACGTCCAGAGCAGACTGTGTGAACTTTAGATAGATAGATAAACACATAAGTACATCCATTACAAAGATTTCTAACTAACTATCTAATAATAGTGCATATTTTTAACTCATCCAGGTTTGTTGTACAGTCTGACAGCCGAAGGAACAAAGGATCTCTTAAAACGTTCCGTTCGGCAGCGCAGTGATATAAGCCTGTTGCTACGATTACTCCTCTGAGCGGCCATAGTGTCATGCATCAACGTTCAACAAGAACAACAAACAAAGTATATAAATATCTGCATTTGAATGTCATTAATGTTGTTTCAATGCAATTGCAATTTTAGGTATAAGAAAAAAATATTGAAATAATATCGTTATCAAAATACTAAACACTCATCAAATATTGCTCTATTTTCCAATATTCTACAGCCGTTTTAAGGACCACATTTGGACACAACTGTTTCTCTGTGACAGTAGCAGGACCTCTGTCTGTGAGGGAGTGAAGCTCACCGGGACACTTTAGACTCAAGTCATTGGTCAGATGTAAATAATTGTGTGTTGTACGTTGTATACTTGTGTCTCTTTGGGAATAAGGTTCTTGCATTTTACCTGTATTTTAAACGCCAGTTGGGCTTTTCTATTCATAACTTCTTTGCACACTGCAGACCTGCTAACACTTTTCCTATGTCCCGAGACTACAGAGATTAAACTGGCTTTTATCTCTGTCTGATCTGAACAATACTTTTATTGTGCAATGTCCCTGACAGATACACAAATAAATAATATATATATTGGTGAGTTTGATGGTTAAGTTTGTTAATTAGTTTTAGATAATAGTGATGAGATATAGACCATGGCTAAAACAAAGCAAAAGAGTCAAAGCAATTTATTTAGATTCAATGACTCTGAGAAATTATGGTCTGGTTCATTTTAACTGAATCGAGTCGGATTCAAAAGATGTAAAAATGACTAAACACTACAACTTCCAGAGCTGTCAATTTGACGGCTTTTAGTTTTGAAAGTAATGTCATTCATCTCATGCACAGTGCTGCTCTTCCTAAATGTGTGACTTTTTATGTTTCTGTGTGTAGTTAATTTCTACACCATTGATTTTGTAAAATGATGTTAGATTTTTTATATATGATTTTTGGTCGATTGCAAACATCATTCTACGGCAAAGTGCTGGTTCTCTTGGCTTTGGTTTTGTTCAGAATCTTCCTCCATTAACCCTCTAGGCGCCACGGTCGACTTACATTAAGTCGACAAGCTGCGGTACTGTTAAAAACGGCCGAGTGTGACCAACTGAGTGTCAAAATTAATTCATACTCCCTGCCACTAGTTGGCAGACATGTCAGACTACCTCCCTGGCCCCAAAAAACTTAATGCTCTCATACAAAATATTCGAGCAAGACCGCGTTGAACCAGTGCGGAAATCATAGCGAAGCGAATGCAGCTGCGGGGCAGCCTGCGAGTGTTGTACCGCACCAAACACTAACTTTAGACACTTTGTACAGGGTCTGCAGTGGGAACAGTGTTTCTTAGAGTAAGGCAAAGTCATTGGGAGGTTCGGAGACAGGTTAGATTTGCGGAAAACAAGCCTGGAACTCGGGTCGGGGCGCCGCGCCGCGACCTCCAGCCTCCGCTGAAGTTTCCGCCAAAGTCTCCGCTAAAAGTGCTTCCCACATATTTTTTTTCAAGCCTCACGTAATCACCGGGACAGTAATGTGTTGTAGAAGCCTTCTCTTGTGTGTGTTAGACGAGAGAGAGCAGGGGAGATGAGAGAGAGAGTGGGGGAGACATCTGCAGCAGGAGGGTCGCGTCTGGGCAGACTGCTCACAGCAGCACCATGATTTATATTTTTTACTATTTTCATGAACATTTACAATGTTACAGTGTGTGCTCTATGTGTGTTCATGTTCTAGTGATAAATATATGTCTGTCAGTTAGAAAAATACAAATATTGTATAAAAAATCTAAAATCCACTATTTCTAACGCCAAATGACGTCATAATATGCAAATTAGATGGGGGGATTTATTCTCTACATAAACTTTGGACCATCCTTTATATTTTTCTAATTTACAGAAAGCCTTTATCTCTTATCACTTTTAAGTTATAGCCTTTTGAAATTAAGATGTCAAAATTGAGCGTTTTGGAAAAAAACCTCTGGCGCTTAAAGGGTTAAGTGCGAGTTTCCATAGAAATACACAGCTGTTTACTTTATGCATTTGGTAGCCTTTCAACAAACTTTCAGGTGTCTGTAGTCCTTCTCCCATGTGGCTGAGCTCCTCTCTCTCTCTAAGGCAGAGCTCGGTACTGCAAAGGGAAGTCGTTTTGTCCACTTACATCTGTGATCTTGTCCTTTCGGTCATTACCCAAAATGAAGGGCGGGGATGTGGTTTGACCAGTAATCTATTTTTTTTCTTTTCCTTTTGACTCAATCCTTCCCTTTCTGTGAACGGAAACACTTGATCTCCTCCACTTGATGAAAAATCTAGAGAGGGCAAGACACCTCTTTATGATTGATCATTATTCAGTTCAAACTTTTGGACATATTGAACATAAAACAGAAAGAAAGGAGGTTGGAAGGCGTAGCCGCGTATTTGGCTCTAACCGCTCTCACTTATAAAAACACAAAACACAAGCGCACAACACACGCAGCACAGTGTCTACTTGTAGCCCTCAATTCTGCTCCTGCCCCTCAGTGTCCTCCACAGCTGTATTTTACAGTGTACAGTGCCTTGCGAAAGTATTCGGACTTCTTGAACATTTTCGCCCTCTCTCTGGTCTCTACCTGGTCTCTCTCTGGTATCTCTCTCCCGTAGCCTCAGTCTTACTCCTGCCCCTCAGTGTTTTACAGTGTATGCACAGCTTTTGACAGCTGCAGCAGCACAACCAGTGGTTGCTTCACCCCACAGATTTGATATCTCTGGTCTCTCTCTCTCTGGTCTTTCTCACTTCATCAGTTGTGTGTTCAGGTGGTTAGAAAAGTACAGCTCTGAAGAAAATAAAACTAGATGCAGAGGTCACAGCAGCCACAGAGCCAATGTTACGTTAGCTTCAACCTTCAACCAAAACAGGTGGAAAATCATTGACTACTGCAAACTATTGTAATGACAAGCTCAGTTTTAACATAGCTGCATCAAAAGCGTCATTAAAGATCTACGTCGTTATCCTAGAATAAGTTTTGGCAAGGCCTCAGATTTGGATATTCTTCCCAGCAACGTCACACCGAACCCAGCGCATGGATAATCCCACTTCCCACTACTTCCTGAAATAGCCTCATTCCCATCCTTATCCCTCAAACCACGTCCATGTGAGTGTGCCTTTATCACAGCCTCTTCTGTCAATGTTGATGATTAATTACACAGTTTACCGGCTCCTTGTTGCTCTGTGTGATCTTTATGCCTGAGGAGCCCTCGTCGTATGCTAATATGTGTACTTTGCATAATAAGAATTGGCAGAGTGGCTAACAAGCTGCGCACAAGCACGTGGCAATAAGTGGGGCCATAAATTATCTTTCCCTGGAGAGCTCTATTAGCCCCGACTGCATCTGCTGACACGCACTCAATTTGTGGTTAACTAACATGTCGAGTGATCTTCTCGCTGCCTCCAGTTTAGTCCAGTCTCTGTTTAGTCCTAGTTACAGTTCAGGGTAAAGGACACATAATAAAATAGTATACGTTTTTAATCATAAATAGATACATAGATACTTTATTGATCCCCGTAGGAGAAACTCAAGTGTCCAGTAACAGCAAAAACACATCCATCCACACAAACAAAACAATTACATTTATCATTTTAAACAGCGAACAATAGTATTAAAATGCAACAGCACTTTCGGTCACAGCAGCAGAGGTGAAGCCGCATGGTTTGGACCATTTTCTCTGCTCTGGTCCAAAGTAAAATGCCTCCAGAAGTTCATCATCAATTATTTACCCAAATATACCCTAATAAATACCCTATTATTGAGAATTTCTGGTGCAGTTGAGCCAGTAAGTATTTGGCAGTTTTGGAGAGTGCATCTTGTCTTCTTAGTAAGTTATTTATAGTGCAGCCCGATGTTGATGCTCGGCTTGGTCAGAACCAGAGTTGGAAATCTCTACCTTCTGTGCATGTTTTTAGTGATAGGGAAAAACAGAGTATCCAGAGGAGAACACAAGAGAATGTGCAAACTCCACTTAGAAAGACCCTGTTCAAACTGAATTATACTTGCCGAGACGCGGAGATGCCTCTTTAAATCTGGGCATACTATTGTGTGCACAGTATTCAGAGTTTTCAGATTCCCTCTCTGTTTATTTGAGAAGGGCAAGTATTTTGTTTTTATTTGCATTCAGCGATGATAGCAAAACGAAAAGCAGTTTTGTCGTCTGTGCACAAACGGTAATGGCAGTGCTTTTCTGTGTCTGCAGCGGTGGCAGAAGGCCTGACGGAACGAGTCCAAGGCACCAGTGTGTTCCTGTTCGGGTGGGCGGACCTCCCCCTGCAGCGAGGCCTGGCCCAGAGGAGGAAGGACATGAGCTGGTTCCAGAAGAACCCAGACCTGACCCAGATCCGACCAGACCTGGGACCAGCTCCAGGGAGGCAGTATGGACTCACAGGTAACAGAATCATCCAATTAAATAAATAAAAACTTTGTTATTGTCAGTCACATACATGGACTATAGATAGATATTTTTCAATCATAGTATACAGCACTCCCACTGATGACTACTGTCGTTGTGTCCTTGGGCAAGACACTTAACCCCACTTTGCCCAAAGCCCCCACTGAAAGATCAAGGCTATGCTCACACTCAGAGAGCAGCCGTCCTCCTGTGGACTCACCACCTGCAGAGGGTCAGTGAGGGGCTGGTGCTATGAGGGGGGTGGCATCTCTGACTGCCACCCCCTGACCCAGAAATGGATTAAAGGGTAGAAAATGGATGGATGGATGGATAGTATACAGCAATCTCTTCGTATGGTCAAACGATGTTCTAGTTTGTTAATTCCAAATATGACTGTAGATGTAATAAAAACACTCGTACTCTCACAGTTAGATTACTGTTCAGAGATCTGGTTGTGTGCTGCAGAGTCACATATAAAGGCTTTACAGGTCGTTCAAAATAAAGCTGCGCGATGTGCTCTTCGATGTAGATATCGAACCAACACCAACTGGATGCACTCTGTGTTATCCTGGTTAAAAGTCAAAGAAAGACTGAAAGTCACATTAATTAATTTAACACGAAATATAATTTTAACCAAAATGCCCAATGTTCTCCATAAAGAGTTGAGTTTCAGTGCAGAAGGCCATCATTATCAAACCAGACATGCAAATGAGGGTAAGTTCAATCTGCCCAAAGTAAAAACAAATTATGGACAGAATACCATCACATACAGATCCATGTGTGTTTGGAACAGTCTGCCCTCCGATATCATGAACCAAAATGATAAATATCAATTCAAATTGAAATTGAAAAGACTTTTCCTAAACATTGGCGCAGTGGATGCTTGAATGTTGTAATACCTAAGTGTGTATTTCATGTTTTCCTTGTCATGGATATTACATTTGAGTGTTGCATTTAAATCTTGCTGTCCACTGTTACTGAAATTGCATTCATACTAACTAGGTCCTCCGTGTGTGCGTGCGTGTGTGTGTGTGTGTGCGTGTGAAAGTGAGTGGATGTTTATGTAAGTTGAATTTTTGTTAGTAATATTTGTTTTGTTGTATTCTGTGTTTGTGTTTGTGTTTCTGTGTTTTTAATGTAATAATTTCTGTTTCTCACATGTGACGCCAAGGAGCTAAATGTTTTTTTCAAAATGTATGTGAGACAACGACTCCAGGAAGAATAGCTGTTTTTATACAGCTAATGGAGATCGTAATAAATACAAATACAAATACCATAGACTGCAGAGTAATGTTAGCCACCATAGTGTTAGCTTAATGTAGAAAAAGTCGATTTGAACATAAGCTAGCTGGAGCCAATTTCCTTATATGGGCATTTGTTCCGACAGTGTTAGCTTTTAGCCATAACAGGAGCAGATGTGTTGTTAAGACGGTTGCTAGGGCAAGCTGGAGTTTCCTCACGAATGAAGGCATCTGATTGGTCAATGCTTGGATGGCACATATCTGGATTTACAAAGACAATATTAAAATACAAATGCCAGGATCACAGAATGCTCTAAACTTCATCCATGAGCACTTTTCTATTGAGCTAGCGGGTAAGCATTGTCAATCTGTATACAGTCAGCAGCATATTCTATAAAGCAAGGGGTTAGTTTGTTTGCAAAAAAATTTAAACATGAAATCATCTTTAACAACCAACCTGTTTTTATAGAATTATATTAAAACCACCAAAAAGAGAAGCACTTTTTCATTTTTGGTTGGCATTTTCTCTGTAGCTGTCATGTCTGCTCTTATTCAGACTGAACGGAGGCTGTGTGCTCTCAAAGTGTTCCACTCTATATAAATAAATAAACACTTTATAAATGGATAACCTCGTTTGGTCCATGCAACATTTTCTAAATTCTGTCGGGTTTTTGAGGCGTGTAGAACTGGTTTTCCATCTCCCATGTTCACAGAATTCAGTGAGACAGATCAACAACATCTTAATTTCATATTTCCTTAATTTCCCATTAACATATTGACTACTGGGAGAAGTTAATCTGCGATCAGCGCTGCTTGTCATTATACAATCTATACAAAATCATTAAAATCCTCTTTAAATGTAGTCTACAGTCTATGCACCAAAGTCCAAGATGCAGGGATTTTTGAGTTATGTCCATGGTCATGCTTTATAGATGGGCAATGCTAACTCGCTAGCACAAGGAAACCAATAGGGAAGTGGACACATTTTTTCTGTCTCCAGGCTGTTATTGTCGATTGTTGATTTCTTACAGGGACGTGCAAGGTTATGATAACTGGGGCCACTACTTTTGAATCTTGTGCTGTATGTAGACATGTGGCTAATATGTCTATTTTAATTAGGTAGAGTTAGGCTGTTGTCTGAGCAAAGTGTATGGATTTTGACTTTTGTTTATTGTAAAAATAGACTGGTGAATGAGTAGCAGTTGTGGTTAAGCATTAAATCATGTTGTGTCCAGTTTACACAGTCTTTTCAAATGCTGCTGAGGCCTAATAGTTCAGAAAGTACATTTGTTTTGAGTGCAGCACGTACGGTAGTTTCTTTGATAATTTGATAATAAATGGCTTCACACACTTTCAGTAAGGGATACACATTTGATGACAGAAACACAGACCTCAGTCCTCTTCTCTTTCAGGAGTCGGCTCCAGTCCTTACGTCATGAACTGTAACGTCACCATCGACTCTCAGGACATGGTTCTGGGCCGCGGCATCGCCTCTGCCATCCGAGAATCCACCGACGGAGGGATCCCAGGCGTGCAGGTCCTGGCTCTACCACACGAGGGCGCTGTGGAGATCGCCTGCAACGTGGAAAGCCTCAAGGGAGACCCACCCAGCCTCGAGTGGCCTGTTTTTGACATCGGGGGGCAGAGTTATTGCCACGCTCCAGCCTCTGTCATCACTCGGCGCGTGTCGGAGTTGGCGGCGGTGAAAGGGGCGGGGACCAAAGGCACGGCGATTGTGGGGTTTACTCCGCGAGAGTGCAGGGGCCTGGCGGAGCTGGCTCTGTCCCAGGACATCGGGGAGTTCTGGAGAGAGCAGCGGAGGGTTCGCATGTGAGAGAAATGGATACTTCATGGATCCAGCAGCAGAAACTCAGGTTTACGGCAGCAGAAATACATCCACACTCACAAACGAATAAATACACAAGTCTAACAGTTACTAACATTAGTAGTAAAGATAGTAAACAGTAATAAATATGTAACATTTGTCACGTGGGGAAAACAGAAGAGGATCCAAAATGCAGGGGATGCTAAAAAATAGTGATTTAATGATGAAAATAAAATTAAAATAACGGGCAAAAATGAATTCACAAATTCAAACAGAACAAGGAAAACGACAGACGTAGGGACAAACGAATAGAGCCAGAGCACAGGTACATATAGTCACATAGAAACACAGGTGAGACACACAAAAAACAGATTTAAATGTATAAAAAAGGACTAAATCCACACCATGACTACTCTCTGCTTCTTGGTTTGCAGAGTCTGCTTGATTCATACCATTATCTCTGCTCTGGTTCAGAGTGAAATTCTGACTGATTTATTAGAAGAAAAAAAATTATGTGTAGGGGCTTTAAACTCTTACATTGCAAATTATCAAATGTGTATTTTTTGTTATTCTCTGTGAGTTTGGCTCTAAGGTCCATTCATCCATCAAGCCAACAAAAGCCTGAATGAGTCTCAAAGTATTATTTAATTGTTATGTCTGCTTACACATTTTTAGATTCACTTTATTTGCAGTAAAACCACATTTGTATATGTAAGATCACACATCAGTAACATCAGCAGCTCTTTACCTAAAACCTTTACCAGCTTTTATATCTAAAAAACTTTGCATTTGTCTATATCCAGAAACACATTACAGTAGTTTCCTCATTTGTTGTTGTTCAAAAATATTTGTAATGGAAGTGTAATAATAATGAATGAATAATGTGAATAAAAACATACATTTGAATAATAATGCAATATGTCCTTGTGTTAAGTGTAACCCATAAATACAAGTTGATGGTTTTACTTTTCATTCATACTTTATTCTCTGTGTCTTGAGTCTTCTTGAGTTATTTCCTGTTTGGATCAAAGAGGAAATGTTTGTTTACTTTTCTGCTAATTTGGCGTTTCTTGTAGTTCTCTTCTTTTTCCAGGAACTCACACAAAGTTCTACAGTTTGAAATATTGTCTTTCAAAACAATCTTTTTCCTCAATTCATTGTCAAAATATTAATGGTTTCAGTGAATTCATGATAAAAAAATAATCAATTCTGACGGTGTTACAGGACGGTCAAATGCAGAGGACAGATTTCCCATCGGAGACAGTACATTTAATTGTCAAATCAATCACAATTTAGTATAATAATAATGCGTTGTTTTATACAGCACTTTTTGGACACTCAAAGACAACATTCTCTCCAAACAAAGCGCTCATTTAATTCATTCATAAAACAATGTTCATACAGAAATGCAACACAAGGTTTAGGGTTAAAAACAATCAATACGTCCACGATTTGTCAAAACAACCACCCAACAGACCCACCCCCCAAACCACTCTCACACACCGAGAAAAAGACTTGGTGCAGACGTATCCAGCTCAAGAAGCGCCATCTGAGGAGCCATCTGCACCGGGAGCAGAGAGCCGCCTGCAGCCACAGAGGACAACACAGGACCCAGAGGATAGACGAGTCCCCCAGACCTCCACAGCTCCCAGTGCAGAGGGCTCCTCCAGAGGAAACATTGGAAATACTAAAACAAAACATTTTAAAGTTAAATCTCGGAGGACTTTAGCTAGTTGTTGATTCGCTAACACAGATCAGAGAATCAAGCAGTTCAAACACAGGAAATGAATGGATTACAAACACATAGGTTTCTATCTCTTATGGATCAATGGCTCTAAGTCCCTAAATGTGGCTGAATGTGTTTCATCCTGGATCATCACCACTGCCTCAGACCCTCCTGCATCGGCAGAAGCAACAACTCATCAAAAACTGCTAAATATTCTACAACTTTGCCTGCACCAGGGCTCCTCACAGACCTGCATTAATGAAACCTCAAAGTCTCGTTCTTGTAAGTCGATGCTTAAGCTTGGAGAGGCAGGATTAACCCTTTCATGAACATAGCGAGTTTGGCCCGGGGACAGGTCGCTCTGAGATCTAGGCCACGGTGAAATCACAAGAGCCACCACCAGAATGCCCTGAATAGCTGCTTTCATGGCCTCATATGGAACCAGATCATTAAGTAATAATACATGAGAACGTATGGAGCCTATAGGCGACACAAAGGCTAGGTCAGGGTGCAGGGGAAGTCTCCAGAGTCATTTTTAGTGTAAAGGAAATTGAATAATCCTTTGGTGGTGGTGGTGTTTTTTTTTTTTTTTTTTAATCAGCTCACAGCGAGTGGGCGAGTGACGCACAAATCCTCCGGTGAAATCCTACACTTCTCTCTTCGCCTGCCTTTTCCCCGTACCATGTTTTTTTTCTCCCACGTCGTCTTTGAAGTGGAGATGATTAAAACATGTAATTGTGTTAAATGACTTTTAAATGAGTCTCCGAACGCGTGAAGGGAAGAAAAAAAAAACGTTGTGGAGGGTTAGTCGCTTGCTTTGTAGCCATTTAGTTATTGGTGAGAAATGGAGAATGCTTTAATACTTTAAAGGTTTTATCAACAATTCGGTAGATCATCGTTTGGCACTTCTACCATCAAACTGCTTCTCAACCATTTGGTAAAGGCCTATTATAAATTGTTTGCATGTTATTAGTGTTCTACAGCTTTGGAAATTCAAAAAAAGATTGCTTGCTTTCTTCAAGGAGTGAATGTTAAAGGGTTAACCGTGACTGAGTGAAGCAGGGGAGAAACGGGTCAGATCTGTGGAGCGGCGATGTTGGTTCATTTTGTTCTGGCTAAAAGTAAATACACACAAAAGGCTAGCCGTCAATCATAAGGTCATAATAATAACGGTAGAATAACAGTCTTCTTAGTGGAAATATAAGTATTTGGTTCTTGTATACCAGACAATACCAGGTAACAACATGGCTATCCAAATACTTCGATCCAGATAGTAATAAAATAATACATTTTTATAATATGAATACATTTTATTCATTCTCCACTTTTCATTTCCAGGAAACCTCAAAGTGCTACAAATGTGTCTTGAGGATTTAAAATGACTTAAAGCTGGGGTACCTAAACCTAACCAATGTAATAGACTTCATCAAACTAGTTCCTCGCTCACAGCCAATCAGCTCATAGCCCAAAGAGTCAAATAGTGACTCACAGGGCGGGCACACGTTCTGACTGAGCTTTAAAACAAGATTCTCCAAAGGGACAACGCAAAAAGATCTAGTTTTAAAAAGATACAGAAATGTCTCCCTTGAAATGAGAAAATAAAGCAGCAGTTTTTGAAATCAGACTGAATGTCTTTGTCCCATTGAAGAGTCGAGTTTTAAGTCACATTGTGTCAGATTCAGATTAAAAAAACACTCGATTCAAGCGTTTATTACCTCATATTTGATCATTTTTTGCAGTGTAAGTGTAAGTAATCTTTGTTTATACAGCACATTTGACTAAGATCATCCAAAATGCAGATATTATGACACATATCTGGCATCAAACCCTCAACTCTTTTGATGTTTTTCATATTTATTTTTCTGCTCATGACTCACTTCACATTAGCCTAATTCCCGATGTGTTTACGTCACAAAGCCTGCGTCTGCTTTCCCCGATCGTCCACTATTCTCCCAGCATCCTCTCTTGTAGCGTCATTGTAACGTTAGCGTTGTCGTTGCAACGTTAGCGTTGTCGTTGCGTAAGCGTTTCTCTACATCATGGCTCTGTGCACAAGCTGCTTCCCTCTGCCTCCTTCAGCCTCTTAGTCACGCAGCATAAAGAAGACGTGCACTATAACCCATATGGAAACACGCACACACACACACACACACACACACCCACACACACACACAGACACACACACACACACACATTGTTAGACCTGGTGTGGTGAATTTTAGTCCTAAATGATCCTAGTTTACCACTTCTTTACTTTCTCCATGTCGTTACCGGACACACACATACACACACACACACAGACACACACACACACACACACCCAATTAACGAAAGATGACAATTCCAGAATTCACGGGGCTCAGATTTGGAAGCGAGAAGCATCATTTTCACACATGGATTTGGGTTCGGTCTTTACCCCCTTTGAGAACCTTTGAGATGTGGCTCTGGTTGCTCTCCCGTCATCTGCACGGAGCTGTGGTCGAAAAATGAAATGAAGTGTTTTGAAACAATTGAAATGTTTGTGGCATTGGGGCAGATATTTGTTCAAATATGGTTTTTCTTCTGTTGAATAAAAAAAAAACTTAATTGATTTGAAGGATTGTCAAGGTTCAGTCCTGGTTCAGCACTATATTCACAAAGTCGTTGGTCGTAGATTTCCATTAGACTGCTCTGTTTTCTGTCGATTCAAATGGAAATGCAGACTTTTGCGGCGACTGCATGGATTTACCCTCAGGTCAATATTCTCGAATCAATGGGACATAGCTCTGGATTAGTCTTTAAACATCCCTCAAAAAAATTAGAAAATCATATATGAAAACATGTAAAATACTGCTTGAAATAATTGAAAAATATCTGTCAATAGAACAAGAAAATACGACTTTGAAGATTCATCATCGCGTTGCCTCAAGAAAAGCCAAGATGAAGATTTCTGAAAATAAGAAAATAATACTGGCCCCAAATGACTTGTAGTTTAAAGACTTATTTACTTATTTCTTAAACATTTTTAAGAATGTATGTCTTGAAATAAAGCATAACAAACTTATTTTATATAAACAAGAAAAGTTTTGTAAATAAGAAAATTAAATTATGAAGTGTTATTATCTTAAAACTAGTACAATATTCTTTTGATAAACTACATTTAAGCAAAAACAACTTGCCATTAAAAAATAAGCATCACTCATGTTATTTTTTGTAAATAAATCCGACCAAGATTTCACTTTGCAGAGTCCAAAAGACCGACTTTAGTTTTTTATAAAAGCAGCTTTAGCTTCAAAGAGGTTTA